CAAAGGCCATGCTCTATTATAGAATTGAACTAACAGCATCGAATTAGCATAAGTACACTGTTCTCTTTGCTATCAGGTCATGTATTCACAATTGCTTATGCTTCTCTCTCAAATACTATTCTCATATTGATTCAGATATTAAAGAGCATATATATTTGGGGAGAATTATGATAAGAAACAATTTTATATATGTTTTAGTAGCTCTATTTAATTGACATTACCTGATGCTAATGCTAATGCTATACTAGACCTGGAAATTTTCAAAACAGAAGCAGGTTCCATGATAATGACTGAACTGAAAATAAATCCTATAAGTTAATTTGGCATCTTCTTTTAAAAAATTGAACTTAGGCCAGTCAGATGGCAAGGTGGTTAAAGACACTAACTACCAAGCCTCATGACCTAGTTTAAATTCCTGGGACACACATGCTGGCAGAGAGAAATGACTGTGGAAAGTTGTCTTCTTACCTCAGCCCAGTCCCCACAGTATGCACAGCTTGTCTGTGTGCATCTTGGTTGTGCTTTCACCTCTAAATGCGCGCCTTGTCACATGTACACGTGCATGGACACACACACACACACACACACACACACACACACAAACACACACACACACAAACACTTGTACAGCACACACACAAGCAATTTTTAAAATGCAATTATTTAATGTTCAATTTATTTGCTGTCATTCAGACATTACCTTTAATCTTAAGTGAGCTATAGGGGCTGAAGAGATGGCTCATGGCTGAGAGGATTGGTTGCTCTTACAGAGGACAGGATTTTTTTCTCAGTGTCCCATCTGTGACTCCAGCTCCAGGAAGTTCATCACTCTCTTCTAACCAGTGAAATCATCAAAAATGCATAACAAAACACCCATACACATGACAAAATTATTTTCAAAAATAATTAAAGATTGGCTGAACTTTGGAAAATTTTGGTATTAGTTATCCATGCTATGCTCTGTTATACCTGGGTATTTCAGTTGGAGTTATTGGAAAATATTCCCAAATGCATTTGTCATTTGGGAAAATGTGAAAAATATGTGGAAATATAAGAACAGGAGGAAAAATCATATTTTATGTTACTACTTCTTATGGCCAGCTGAGTGGAGTCTACATATTTTTGCATTAGCATTCTTTAATTTATGAATAAAAACATGATCCAACAAATACCATATTTAATCAATGGGGATTAATAACAACTGAGAATAAATTAAGAATAAAGTAGTTTTCTCTCAGAAATCTTCAGGCACATAGGAGAGTTTATGTCTGTAGCCAAAGGAATGGAGACTTTGGTGCCAAACTCACATTCGTTAGTTTCCCTCAGTCCATTGTTTGGTGAATATGTGGTTAAATATTTGAAAAACCATAGCAGAGTCTACAAATTATAATGTTATAATGTTACAGAAGCAAGAATTACAGTCCTGTTCTGTGGAAGTGTCAACATATTTTGGTCAGGGAGTTAAATGGAAATGGTCGTTAAAAGTGATTATTTACAACAGACGGTCCCATGTTCCATCCCTTCTCTCTCATTTATTTACTGATTTACATATAAAACACTGACATCTCTCAGGATTACACCAGACCATGAGTGATGCCTACATTAAGACATATGAGGATGATAAAAAAAAACAAAAACCATCAGATCCTTGGGGTAGAGGAGGCCTAATCTAAGGTGGCTCTTAGATCTTTCCTCACTTATATGAATGGATAATAAACTTCTGCTTTGGTAATATTTATTTCAGACATCCATGTCTGTTTGACAGTCGTTTTTAACCATATGACAGAAATAATTTCTAAGAAAAGCAATGGGTACATTTTTTCCTCTCTACTCAAAATTTTATATCATTGGATAAATATTTCTTCAATTCCCATCTTTAATTTCCATGAAAATGAAATCTCTACCATTAAAAATAATTATTTATTATAATTCCAGAATAAAAATCTTCTTTTGTTTTGAAAATAGCTAATCTCTATGTAGCAGGAATCTTAACAGGTCTTATTAATAAGATCAAACCTGGGGCCAGTTATTGGGGTGAATGCTGGAAGATCAGAGAAGCAGAACAAGCCACAACTACCTCACCTTGCCAATTTCTCAGCTGATCCTGTTTCCTCAGACTGGATGCCTTTGAGTCCTCATCCAGAATGAATCTCAGCTGAACTGCTGCTCAAAACCTAAAAGCTTAACCAGCCAAATATTTCTAGTTCCTGGTCTTCATGCCTTATATACCTTTCTGCTATCTGCCATAACTCCCTGGGATTAAAAGCTCACTTCTTGGGATTAAAGGCATGTGTCACCATGCCTGGCTGTTTCCAATGTTGTCTTGAACTCACAGAGATCCAGAGGGATTTCTGCCTCTGGAATGCTAGGATTAAAGGCGTGTGCTACCACTGCCTATCCTCTATGTTTAATATTGTGGCTGTCCTGTTCTCTGTGCATCACCATCTCTATCTTGTATTCTTTTTTTTGTGTAAGGTTTATTAACTCTTTCTTAAAACTGCATGTATTTTTATGGTCCATTGTGGTTACTGTTACTATTCATCTTCTTATATCTGCTTCCATCTCTATTATCTTTACCACAAAAGTCTCATATTCTGCCCATATTCATATCTTTTTTTTTTTCAGTGAGTGACCCAATGAGTTTCTATGTGGCCCAGGGTTTGAAGCTATCCATGGAAGACTGGTAGGCTGATGATAGAGGACAGAACTAAAACAATGACTGCCCCTTCTCCAGATCCCATCAGCAGACAAACTCAGGCATATATGGCAGAAAATAAGTAAAAAAACAAACAAAAAAAAAAAAACTATGCACCTATTTTTATATGACATTCTCTAAGGCAATGAGTATAATGAACTATTGGCTTTCAATGTTTGAAAATATATTAACTCTCTCAGCAGTGAAATAACCCCATCTAATTAACTAAAATTAAATTTCATGAAAAAGACAAATGATTATAAAATGAATACATCTTTCCAAAAATGTTTAATTTGAAAACAAATTAAAATAATCACTAAATGGATTGAAAAAAATAGAAGATATTAAATATTTTGTCATACATTTTGGTACAGAAATTCTTGGTGTGTGTCATATAAAAATTGTCACATCTGGACAGAAAGCTGGAATAGTATAGTTATTTCCATCATTAATGATTATAAACATTTGAAAGAAGTAACTGCGTAGAGAATAGAAAAGGTATACTACATATAAGAAATAGAATTCTTTTATTCACCTATTTTTTTTCAGTCTCAGCCTACACTTCCAGTCCCTCATTCTCCGACCCATCACCCACCCTGCTCCCACTTCCTAAGATCCTGCTCTTCTATCTACATCCAGGAAATGGCAAGTATCTCAAGAGTATCAATAAAACATGGCATATCAATTTTCAGTAAGACTAAACAACTCTCCACACATTAAGGCTGGGCAAGGCAACCCAGTATGAGGAACAGGGTTTTTGGCGCCTGTAACTAGATTAGTGCCTGGCCCAACTGTCATTAAAGGCATCATCTAGCAAATGATGGAGGCAGATGCAGAGATCCACAACCAAACATTAGGCTGAGTTGAGGAATCCTATGAAAGAGGAGGAGAAACGAGTGTGGGAGTGAGAGGGGTCAAGGACACCATGAGACGACCCATCACCTAACCTAGGCTCATAGAGGCTCACTAAGACTGAACCAGCAAGCAGAGACCCTGCATGGGACTGACTTAGGCACTCTGCAAATGTGTTACAGCTGTGTAGCTTGGTTTTCTTGTGGGACTTCTAACAGTGGGAACAGGGGCTGTCTCTGACTCTTTTAAGAAAAAAAAGATTTTATAAATTAATGTTTGTAGTTTTATCTTAAAACAACAATTAACATAATTAATATTAATAATATATAAATTATATGAATAATTGGTTATTCATTGTTTTCAATACAGAAATTATAAACCGTTATGTCACACATGTTCAGGAATTACATTCTGCCTCCATTTGCCTATTCAATAAATAGAGAAAACAAGAAACAGAACAGCATAACTCTGGTTATGGATATGAGTGACCTTTGATGTTTGTACTTCGATTGCTACCATTTGGTGGTACATATGTGATCTTTAATATACTTATTCCCTCTTTGAACTTTAGGTAAATGTGTTCTTTGGGTATTTCATACATATATGAAGTCCATTCTGATTACTGAAATCCTCATCTTATCTAATCTCCCTTCTATTCTTATTACTACCTTATCCTGCTTCCCCTTATTTAGAGCAACTGAATTTAAGCAGGACTATCTGTAAGACTCTGGGTTTGGAACCATCACTATGCAATTGAAGACAATTATTTCCTCTTCCCCCAAGACCAATGGCAGACAATAGTTCAGCAAATAGGGATAGGTATTGGTGAAATTATTAAGGCCACTCCATGTAGTTAAAAGGGAGGTTTATTTTGTGGGGTAACTTACAAGTGAAGGGATAGGTAACAGGGTCTGGGAAAGGTGTGGCACAGTCCGGCGGTGTTCTCTGGAGAACTCTGCTCAGTCTACCTCCAGCGTCCAGGGTCCAGGAACCAAGAGAGCTCATGCATCCAGATTTCAGGTCTTCAGGGTCCTCTCTCAGTCCGCCTTGTAGGCGTGACAGTTACCGAAGCCTCAGTGGGGGTTGGAACTTCCAGGTCAAAGCTGGAATGGCTACCCACTACAGATAGGGCTTTATGTGGGTCTGTCACTGATTCAAAACTGACCCTTCCATCTAGAGATGACCTCCATGGGTAGTTCACAACTAGTGACTCTGGTCATCATTATTAAAAATAACTGTACCCTACTATATTTGTGTTTAATGTGTCTAATATTGTTCCTTTTCCCAAGTCTTGTGCAGATTACCATATTGAATTTAATTGCCATCATGTTTCTGATGGTTATTCCTGTTTGTCACAGTTATTAGGGCTCTTCTTGTTTCACATCACTGGAAAATTTATTTCTTTTTAAGATATAATTTATATTTTCTTTAAATTTATGCTCCATGGTTTCAGGTGCCTGAGTAGAACAGAATATGGTGGAGCAGCCCTGAAGTTGGAGTTATAGGCAGTTGTAAGGCACCCAATTCGGTCCTGGGAAATAGACTTCAGGCCCCTGAAGGAGTAGCAAATGTTCTCAACCACGGAGTCATCTATCTGCTCTCCACTGTGCATCTAAGAGTAACCACACTCAAGTATGCTCTAACCAGGCTTTGATTAGGGTTTATTTGATGTTTGCATCTTGAGTAACCTGGGGCCATGCTTTCGGAAAGGAAGCATGTAAGTTAAAAGGGACACACTAGTCACAGTTTCTAAAGATCGTCTATTAGCAACACAAGAAATTAAGCTGATGTTAGCCTTGGTAACCAATCTATGATAATACTTATCATACTTCTTCACTTGTAATTACTCTTTTTCTCCTTTTTCAGGTCCCAGTGTCCTCTCAAGTGAAGATACTCTATGAACCTAGCAGTTAAGTATGGGAGAATCATGGGGTCATATTATCTACACAAATTATTTATAATGATTTGATTTTCAGAGTGTAAAATCAAAATACAAATTTTAAGAATAATAAATGGTACAGAATTGATTATATTTCTTCTTGAAAATTTTTATAACATTTATTAACGATAGATACAATTAATACCAACAACAATACAGAAATATGTACATTTCTATACACCTTAAAAATATTATCACAGTTCTATTTAGGGAAAATAGGCATTGAAGAAGTATCTCATTTGAAGTGAATCTTAATTAGAATGTCATGATAAATCCTCAAAATTTACTACTGTAGTTACAACTGAGATAGCAAGACCACATTTCATACAGTTCAAAATAACTTCCCAGAGCCCACCTGCACTGCACCTGTGAAACCAGCTGGGGTGTGTTTGTTCTCTAGATTTATGGCCAGACTTCCTAGTCAATGCATCATTAATTTCAGATTTTATAATGTCATTCTCTTAGGTTCTCCACCCCATTGCTTTGGAATTGATGGAGAATAATCGAGCAAAATTATCAGTGCTATCCAAGGATGTTGAAAACAGGAAGGATTGTTTAATGTAACACATAAACAGAAAAAAAATCTAGAAATCTTACTGAAATGGAAAGGCAGAGAAATGATTGATATTTCACTTCATAAATGAGTGTGTTTGTCAATCCCTCCATAATTCCTGTTAGGTGGAATATTTACTGATGGAAGTGTATTAACCTGGTTATCAAACCTCCAGGAAAATTAGCAAAAATTCTCCTCTTGCATTTGATGCTATGAAAACTCATAAATAGTAATAAACATATGTGATCATTTTTCGATTACTAAATAAACTCTAGGGTATGAAATATATCTATTGCTTGGTGTGTGTGTGTGTGGGTGGTCATGCCAAGGTAGGCATGTACAGGTGAAAGGGCAACTTTTAAGCACTGACTCTCTCTTTCTACTGTGTGGGTTCCTAAGATGGAGCCCAGTTCTTGAGACCTGCGATAAGTGCCTTTATCAAGCGAGTCTTCTTACGGCCCTAGGTTCTATTTTGTTGCAGATGCAGTTATTTCTGTACTAGTAATGCAAGCCTTCGGTTGTTAGGGGTGTTTTGGTACCTGTTCTCCCTTTGAAATACTTATTGGCTTCTAAATTCTCCCACATTTAAAAAAATCACAATTATTGCTATAATTATAGAAAAATATCCTCATACTTTTTACTCTTTACACAATACATTTTATATATGAAATATACTTTTTCTGAATACTGAGAGTTTTTCATTCACATTACAACATTTTGATAAATTCCCACCATTTTTCAGCTCTCTCTAGGTTCAAAAAATGATATGGATGCCTGTTGGCCTTGTTCAGAGAGGCTTTATTTGTGTTCAAATAGGAAAGAACAATGATTTGTGAAGGTAAACTCCTTACTCTAAGCAAGTCCCGACCGAGTCCCCAGAGTGCTGCTACATTGAGAAAGAAGTGAGTCAACAGTAATGGAAATCTGTCTTAATACTTTTGTCTTCCCTTTTATCTTTAATCAGAAAGTAATGCAAGATGCTGATGCATCCCCAGCCTTCTTTGTTTGTTAATTTTTACTCTTCTTTCATACAGTATATCACAACTGCAGTTTCCTCTCCCTCCATTTCTTCCAGTCCACCTCTCCACTTCCCCTTTCTCCCAGATCAACTCCTCCTTAGTTTCCCTTTAGAAAAGAGCAGACCTCCCAGGGAAATCAATGGAACACTTCATAACAAGTTACAATAAGACTAGGCACAAACCTTCAAGTTAGGGATGGATGAGGCAGCCCTATGGAAGGAAAAAAGTTCCAAGAGCAGGCAAAGGAGTAAAAAATACCCCTATTCCCACTGTTACGAGTCCTACAAAAACAAACAAACAAACAAACAGCAAAAACAAAAACCACACCAGGTAAACAACGTAACATATATAGCACAGACTCATGCAGGCCCTGTGATTTTCACTTCAGTCTATTGAGCTCCCGTGAGCCCTGATTAGTTGATATTGTGGACCATCTTCTCCTAGTGTCTTCAACCCCTCTGGCTCCTACAATTTTTTTCCTTCCCTTCTTCTGTAGAATTTTCCAAGTTCCAAGGGGAGGGACCCAATAGGATCTCCAATTTAGGCTCTCTTTCTGCCTGTTTGGCTGTGGGTCTCTGTATCTGCTCCCATCATCTGCTGAAGAAAGCCTCTCTGGTGATGATTGAAGTAGGCACCAAATTATGGGTATAGTAGAATATCATTAGGAATCATTTTATTGATTTTTTTTTCTGTCTTATGTCTTTGGGCTATCCGGCCACAGGTTCCTGGTTGTCCAAGCAGTGTTGGGCATGGGCTCCGTCATGTGGCGTGGGCCTCCTTTCAGACGGATCATTGCACGGCCACTGTCATAAGTTCTGTGCCTGCGTTGCCCCAGCATCTCTCTCAAGAAAGGAAGATAATAATAGGTCGAAGGTTTTGTTGCTGGGTTGGTGTCCTACTCCAAACCACTGGAAGTTACCCGATTACAGAAGATGGTTGGTACATGCTCCATATCCTCCATTACTAGGACTCTAGCTAGGGTCAGTCACCCTTGTCGAATTCTGGGTATTTCTACTGCACTAGGTTTCCACATTGTCCTTACCCCAAATATAACCCAGTTTTATTCATCTCTCCACGAACTTTCTCCCTCTACCCCCACCCGACCTGGTCCCTCTTACCCATCCACGATTGCCCCCAGTACACCCACAAAATCTATTTCTCCTTCCCAGGTAACTCCATGCATCCCCCTACCCCTTGAGGCCTCCTTGTTACAAAGCCTTTCTGGGTCTAGGTTGCCTCACTCAGGATAGTTTTTTCTAGTTCCAGCTATTTGACTGCTAATTTCATGGTATCTTTTTATTAACAGCTCAGTAATATTACTTACTTTTGATAATGTTTATACCTTCACTAACAATTTCATTTCTTTAATAAATTATCCCTTTGATTTCATTTATTTTTTACTTGTTGAACACAGATAATTCTTAAAGTGCTTACACACCGCCGCACACTTATGGAGGGACAGAAATTTGAATGTATTTATATATATATTTTTTCTCATTGTATAGTTATTTCTTTTGTTCCTTCAAAAATGTTGCTTTCGCTGGGCGGTGGTGGCGCACGCCTTTAATCCCAGCACTCGGGAGGCAGAGCCAGGCGGATCTCTGTGAGTTCGAGGCCAGCCTGGGCTACCAAGTGAGTTCCAGGAAAGGCGCAAAGCTACACAGAGAAACCCTGTCTCGAAAAACCAAAAAAAAAAAAAAAAAAAAAAAAAAAAAAAAAAAAAAATGTTGCTTTCAAACACTGCTTTATAGAGTGTGGAGAGGAACTCACTGATTGAAAATAAATCTCTAGTTATATAGATTGACTAAACTGAAAAAAAAAGATTAATATAAACTAGCTAAGCAAAAAGGATGTAGTAAGTGTATTACCTGAGTTTTACTTAGTTCAGAAGAAAGGAGGTAACATGTAGCAGAGATTTTTCCAAAACATCCTGAAGATACATGTTCACAGATTCAAAAACTTCAATGATTCCTATGAAGAATAAATTTTCAAATGAAAAAAGATGATTAGGAACATAAAGAAATGTAGACAACCAAAACTCAAAAAAAACAAACATTTCAATGAATGTCACAAACTATTCAAAGGAATTTTATAAACCTTTCAAAAACAATGATAGTCTGAGACAGATCAATGTCATCAGTGTGCTGAAAAAAATCAAGAGATAAATTTAAAATCTGTATGCAACAAAAAATTCTTCATAATTTTAAGATGATATTTAGTCAAATGAAAAAATTTTAAAAATTATTTAAAAGTAAAGGTAAGAAGGCACTTCTAGGAGAAGAAAAGGATATGTATAATGAAATATAAACAAGAAGTAATGAGAAAAAAGAGGCAGAAAATGGTGATGGAAAGAATATATTACCTTATAAACATAGGAATAAGAAACTATCATTTCATTATAATAAACAGTAACACAACACAATTTACAACCATGAGTTAAGAGAGACACTGTGGGAAACAAATTGTACCAATACTGGCCATTAACAAGAAAATAAAAACATTCATAATTTAAATTTTATTGTGCTTTATTCAATAATATTTTAAGTTGGTAAAAATACTTTATAACCTTTTGAACTAATTTAATGATGTAGAAAGCAAATTACAAAATTAGATTTGTCTGAAAAATATTAATAAATTTTTTAAAATAAAGGAATATAATTTCCAGCTGGTATTGACTCATAGAGATTTTTAAAAAATCACAATAGCAAATGATGAGTGGGTCAAAGAAGAAAACAACAACAAAATAACCGAGAAGTAGATGAATATAAAAACACAACACATCAAACATTCTGGGACACATTAAGAACAGCCCAGCAGGAAATATTGATATCTCCAAACATTTCCATTGGGGGAAAAAAAAAAAAAAAAAAGAAAGTAAAAATTGCACAAATAAACTACTTAATGATATAAATACAGTTTCTGTTGCAATGGTTTCGTTTTCATTTCTGCCCCCTTGTGTAATTTCCTTATTTATTTTGGTTTTGTGGACTAAGATTCTGTAGCTCTGTTTATCCTCTCAAAGAACCACCTCTTAGAGCTGTTAATTCTTTGACTTGTTTTCATTTTCTACTGGATTGATGTCTGCTCTTCCCATATTATTCCTTCCCATTTAGTGGATTTTGGTTCCATTTGTTCTTGTTTATCCAACTATTAATTTGATCATATAACTGTACAAGTTATGAAAGAACATTTCACAAATATTACTATTAATGGGAAAAATCAATTTTAAAATTAAATTTTAAATGGAAAATTGAGAGTAAACAGAAGCATATAAAGTTTCGGCAATAGAATATGTTAGTAAGGACAGATTTTCCATATCTTGGGGTTTAAAATGTGTTCTATGAAAGTTAAACTGACAAATGTGTTAGAATGAGAGTGACAGGATGCTGGGCTGCCAGATCAACTGTGCTTATTAAAAATGATTTCATGAAAATAAAGATATGTGTAGAGAAAAATAGACATGCTTTCATGAAGAGGTAAAAAGAAGTGTAGAGTAAGATAATCTTGCTTTTCACATGTTGACTTTCTTTGAACAGCAGAATCTAGGGAAACTGTCAAAGGATGTGAATTGAACATTATTAATGTGCTATAATTTACATACACAAAAATTATAAATAAAGACACAATACATTTAAAGGAAGTGAAGTGAGGTCAAAATACCTTTAGTTATTGATAAGAAATGGATTCTTATTTTAAATGGTCTACTGTGGAACATAGTGACTAGAACATATTAATGAAAATTTTAAAGTATTTTTTTCATTTTACAAACCAATCCTATTTCCTCATCCCTCCCCTTCTCCTGCTCCCCTACTTTCCCCCATCCCAACACCATCCTCTCCTTAGAGAGGGTAAGGCTTTCCTTGAGCAGTCAAAAATTTTGGTACTATTTTCTATTAACACATTTTGTGACAAAGAACAGTTTGGAAAATAAGACTATGACAGACTAAATTTGCAAGATAATACGTATATTTTCCCTTTCTTTTAATTAAGAGATTTTTCTATTCGTTTTACTTATCAACCATGGATTCCCCTGTCCTCCCTCCCTCCTCCCACCCCCCCCCATGGAAATTGATGAAGGCATATATATTTTATTATTCTGTCACTACAACATGATGTATGATCTGAGAAATCTTAGAAACATTGTAATCTATACCCTATTTAAAATGTAAACTTCATTTATACTTACAGTTTTAAGTTATTTATTTTTAAAATCACACATTGATATGGCACTCTGAAGGAATACACTATTAGTTAAATATATCAGAAAGTTTATATCACATGGTCTGTTTGAATTTCAGGAAATTTTAATCTCCATTTTAATTTATAAATTAATTTTCATGGTGTGTATAATATTTTGACAATCATTAGATTAGCTAGTAAAGATGACTGCCCAGCATACTTCATACATCCCTCATAATCCTTCATTATTACAGTGACAATGAAATGCTTATGAAAAAATGTGTTAGGAGAGCAACCAGGCAGCCGAAGGGAAGGAACATCCAAAGATCTCATTACATTTCGTGTTAGGATGCTTGCTTTGGGGCTCATTGGATACACACATGGCCTCTACTCTCCCTTTATTATATTCATAAAGAGCTGCTGAACCTCCTAAAATGTAGCTGATGGATTTGTAAAAGATATGACAGCTTGTTCAAACAGGTTTCTACCGAACCTTCTAAGAAAAATTTCATTCTGAAGCATAGCTGGGAGGCATTTATGTTAGAAATGTCTACTTTGTCACTGTAAATTGAATATTTCACCTGTCAACAGACTATCAAAAAGGGACCTGTTCTCTTTCACTTCTCACTCAATACTACTTAGCACTGAAAATAGGAAGGATAAGATTTTGATACTCATATAATTAGCAGCATATCTTTCTGGTGTTAAAACATATGCACAGATACACACACACACACACACACACACACACACACACACACACACACGCATGTATATATATATATACATGCATATATACATGCACACACACACAAAGTACAAGTTAGATAACATTGCAAATGTATTTGTTTGCCTGATTTGAAGCTAATATGTAGTTAAACATAGTGCAGAAGGGGCAACCACCTTTATGAACAAAATTGAGTGGTTTTTAACTGTCTGGTGATAATCTAAGAAGAATGAAATCTTCACACTTTACAAATGAATAGAGGGTTCACTTAAATCTTATGGTATTTGCCATGGACTTATATATATTTAGCCTACAATATATGACAGAAAATTCACTAAAATTAGATTATTAAATTAGTTTTCAAGACAAAAATCTATTCTTTCTGTGAAATAGAATAGCAACAAGAACTTGGGCGTTGTTTTAAAACATGCTAGTTTAATTCAAACTCAGAACACTGGACAGGATACATAAGAAGAGATTTGTACGAATGAAATAATTTATGTATGTATCAATGATAGAGAGTTCAGCAATAGAAAAGAGAAAAGTTAGGCAGGAAAAGGACAAAGACAAAGACAGAAAGACTGGCATGATTTCTAAGCAGCCCAGTGAGGAAAATACAGCAAATTACTGTCTTCCTACAGTATCAAACAGTAGGGTCAATGTCTTCCTGTCTCCGTTTCATCACCTCTTTTTCTTGAATCATAATGATACTCACATTGAGAAGTGGCTGTTAGTGTAAGAGTGCATTAGAGCCTTTTGACAAATGAAATAAATCTAAAATTTTAACCTATACAGAACATAAATCCAGTTTTAAGGAGAAAAGAAGAGCAGGAAATCTTATAAAAATATAAATCTCTTCTTTCATCCCGTTTAGCAAATGCATCTGTGTGGCTATAACCATATGTGAGGGTAAGTGGGAAAAGACTGGGTGTGTGCTTATAATAGAGTCTAACTTCATTAAAGATAATAATCACTGGACTTCTGATTGTTATGTTAATTAAGTCACTTCAAAATAGATCTTTTTATTGTGTTTCAGTTCACTTGTATTTTAATAAAATCATAACTTGATATGTTTAAATGTAATTTCGGTTTAAAGAACCATGTTTTCTATTATGAATGGAGTTCAAATACCCACTAAATTAATGATTTTCTAATGTAAGATAAGCTTTTTATAAACAAAAGATGCCCTGAGAATAAATAAGTACCAGTGAATTCATTCTTAGTATCTTATATGATCAAAATCAGTATATATGCAAAGGCTCACCTTGGTTTCTGCCAAACAATTACTCACAATTGATGAAAATATGTAATCAATGTTTACAAGAAGACATAAAACTCAAACATTGAACTTCTCAAGTGGAAGGTATATTACAAAGCAATGTTGATGCTTCATTTCAAAATGCTTTGTAGTTAGAAACTCAGATTGATAGTATATGGTGGAATTAAACCCTGATACCAACCTCAAAACCAACCAGGATAGACTCTCCAAAACACAGTGGAGGTTGGTGGCTGTATTATAATTGTTCATTGGTGAATCCCATCAAAATAAGACAAGAATGCTGAGAAAGATTTTGTCGTCTTTTTTGTCTCCTGACAGACTTTCCATAAATATGTTATAAATATTATAAATCTATTACAAATGTCTAGTCTATCTGGAATTTATGCACTCCTGAGAGAGAATCAAAATCAAGATTTTGCTATCATTTTGGAAGTAAAGTTGAAGCCCAGTAATGTATTCTGTACTAAGCTAAAATAATTAGTTTCATAAATATATTTAGAAGACAGTATTAGTAGCTTAGTATTAGAGGAGTTCATGTTTAATTCAAATCACTTAATAATAAAGAATGAAGTACTGTGAAATCTTCAGGAGGTAGGTACCATCTTGGCAGATTACCATTCTCTCCTTAATGCTTGGGTTACAGATGTACATCATCACACTATACTTTAGATATGTACCTTGCTGTAGCAGTTGGAGGAAATGTATTACTGTGGGGTGGGCTTTGAGGTTTCCAATGCTCAGGATACTGCCCAGTGAGACAGTTGACTTCTTGCTGATTGCAACATGTAGCCCTGTCAGCTCCAGCACCATGTCTTGCTGTACACCACCATGCTCCCTGTCGTGATGATAATAGACTGAACCTCTGAAACTGTAAGAGAGCCCCTTCAATAAAGTGTTTTCCTTATAAGAGTTGTTGTGGTCATGGTGTCTCTTCACAGCAACAGAAACCCTAACTAAGACACTTGGGCATCTTAATTAACAGCTTCATTACAAATAAAAACAGACGGAACCATCCTCCCAGCTCCTCTAATAACTTATTTAACACACATGTATTGTCATATACGTGTTGCAAACATACTTACCTGCTGTGGGATGTTCTGTATGGCAAATGTGTTGCTGATTAGTTAATAAATAAAATACTGATTGGCCATTGGCTAGGCAGGAAGTGTAGGCGGGACAAGGAGGAGAATAAAGCTGGGAAGTGGAAGGCTGAGTCAGAGAGACACTGCCAGCCGCCATCAGGACAAGGAAGATGTAAAGTACCGGTAAGCCACAAGCCACGTGGCAAGGTATAGATTAATAGAAATGGATTAATTTAAGCTGTAAGAACAGTTAGCAAGAAGCCTGTCACAGCCATACAGTTTGTAACCAATATAAGTCTCTGTGTTTACTTGGTCGGGTTTGAGCGGCTTGGGACTGGCGGGTGAGAGAGATTTGTCCTGACTGTGGGCCAGTCAGGAAAACTCAAGCTACAATTGGCGTCCAACGTGGTGGCAAGAGTTTCCACCTAAAACCTGTGAAAAGATTCTAAAATGGAGCTAAACACAGCTTCCTAATTGTCTCTCTCAAATGAGCGGCAGCTGCTAGTTTGAGCTACTGGTGGGTTCCTGGAGTGTGCGCTCAACCTGCAGTATGGCAGGAATAAGACCTCTGCAAGTGGCACATTAAGCTGCATGGTGGATTTAGACTTTGCTAGTACAAAACAAAAAAAGAGGTTTCTGGGCTACACGCTGTTTGGCTAAAAGCATAGACCCACGATAGCTCCCAGAGCTGGTGGTAAACCACCGCCATGCTGGGAAGCTGAGGTGGGCGGAGCCAGCAGCCACAGCTGCTGCAGTTTAAGGCAATAGATTCACAATAAGACAGATTCAGATGCAATAGTTTACAATGTGTGTAAAAGATACGTAGGCTTGAAAGAGATAAAAAAGGTGGTGGCGCACGCCTTTAATCCCAGCACTCGGGAGGCAGAGGCAGGCGGATCTCTGTGAGTTCGAGGCCAGCCTGGTCTACAGAGCGAGATCCAGGAAAAGGCGCAAAGCTACACAGAGAAACCCTGTCTCAAAAAAAAAAACCAAAAAAAAAAAAAAAAAAAAAAAAAAGGTGATATATAGAGTTATAGAAACAAATACATAGTTTTAAAAAAATAAAGTCTTTAAAGAGACAGTAAAATTAATATAGAAAATAAGCCACGTAAAGATGAATATTACACAGAGAATCTGGATTGTGTTGTCTTTGGGATTTTTAACTGCAGAAAAACATTTGATTGTAAAAGCTGTTGAGTTATGCCGAAATGTATATTTTAAAGGTACCTTGACTTCAAAATTTGGATATAAGGATATGTTGCTTTGGAAAAGAGTCTCTGCTTTTGTTCCCACAGAAAGCCAAAGGCTATGGATTTGTTCCAGATTAAGATACATCAGGTTTGACCAGCCAAGACCCCCTGAAAGGTCTCCGATGACACCATGGCCCAGATGACCCAACATCCAGAATGGTTTCAAGGCAACTGGCTCAGATGATACACCCTCATGGACTATTCCATAATCCTAAAATTTTCTTTATGTCCCCATAAGATACAGCGCCCCCCTCCAGCAGGAAGTAGTAAGAGAAGCTACGCCCAAATTCCCAAATTACATGTAATTTTACTTTGTTAAGGTTAAAACCTTCCTTTTTGAAAAAAAAAATGGGGGAAGTGCTGTGGGATGTTCTGTATGGCAAATGTGTTGCTGATTAGTCAATAAATAAAATACTGATTGGCCATTGGCTAGGCAGGAAGTGTAGGCGGGACAAGGAGGAGAATAAAGCTGGGAAGTGGAAGGCTGAGTCAGAGAGACACTGCCAGCCGCCATCAGGACAAGGAAGATATAAAGTACCGGTAAGCCACAAGCCACGTGGCAAGGTATAGATTAATAGAAATGGATTAATTTAAGCTGTAAGAACAGTTAGTAAGAAGCCTGTCACGGCCATACAGTTTGTAACCAATATAAGTCTCTGTGTTTACTTGGTCGGGTTTGAGCGGCTTGGGACTGGCGGGTGAGAGAGATTTGTCCTGACTGTGGGCCAGTCAGGAAAACTCAAGCTACACTTACCTTTAAAAATTTGAGTAATATCTATATCACAGATAGCTTTCTGTATCCTATAAATCATCTCCTTTAGTATCATATGTTTTGTGTTGTTTTCATCTGTTTTGATGGAGATTCACATTGTCTTTCTATATTTTGTAGTCATGTCTTTAAAAACAGAAAGGAAACGAGCAGTATCAGAGAGTAAAGTAATATGGATGTATGTAAGAAAACAAAGAAATAATAGCTAACTTATAAAAACCTTTTCCTTGTTTGTCTTAAAATGAACTGGAATACATCTTGATACTTTAAAAATTTTTTTAAACTTGAGCTGCAGAGATGGCTCAACAGTTAAGAGCACTGACTCTTCTACGAGGAGACCAGGGTTGATTCCCAGCATTCACATAAGCAGCTCACAAAAATCTGTAACTCCAGTTCCATGGGATCTGATGCTCTGCTGTGTCCTCCATGGGTAATGTACTCATGTGGTGCACAGATATATATGCAAGCAAACCATTCATACACATAAAATGAAATAATGATTTAAAAAATGTAAAATTTTGAAATAATTAAGCACATATTTTATTATTATGGTTTGTGTCAGTGGTAGTGTTCAATGTATGAGATATGAGCTACTTTTCTTAAACAAATATATCTGAAGAAATAATATAGAAATACTTATGCATATCCAAATTATCACCTGTATCATTAATGAGCTTTATGTTTATAACCACCTAGTATGAGGAAAAAGTTTTCTCATTGGAGGAAGTTTTGAATATTTCAAGTAACAGAAAAATTATATCTACATAAAGAACATCCATTTAATAACAATATTCCTCCTAGGTAACTAGAAAAAAACTGATAAAGCAAAAAAAATCATTTAATATTATGGAGCTTTGACAAAGTAGTTGAAACCAGTTAAGAAATATAAACCCTGTTCTTTGCTTTCCAGGTAATTCAAAAGTATAGATACTGGTCCCCATTTTCATTGACAGTTAAAGAAAACATCTTTTCATGAAATCTGATTACATCAGGCAAAACCAAGTATCTTCAAATTCTAGTATAATGTACTATTATTTTATTTTGTATTTTTTATAAATGAGCAAATGACAACCAATGATTTATAAAAGTAATGTAATTCGGGAGAGCTTTGGATCTCATTTTCTAAGCCTTTCTTGATGTTTTTTCTCATGAGCTGTATAGTTCAGATCATTTGTTACCTTAAAGGAGAAAGCTCCAGAGACAGCTTCTTAGGAATACTTCTGGAAAGATCTTTGAGGTCAAAAGAGTGATTTAACCTCAAAGATCAGCCAAAATTCTGGAGAGTGGAGAAGAAGAAAAATACAATTTAATTTCTAGGACATTCAGCAGCTAGGGATTTTAGCAGCTATAGGCCAACACATGATTTGTGTTGTAATAACCAGCTATGACAGCCACATATTTTTAAGACTACATTTGGAAGTACTTCATATAAAATCTTTTAAATATGCTCTATAGATACTTGTGTTGCAATTTTGGTGTATGAACACACATAGTCTCAGGAACGGTGGTTCAAAAATTGATGAAGAAACAACACGGATCTGTATTTCTCCACATTTAATTAAGCAATTGACAGAAAATTTTTAAAAAAATAATGATCACACAACTTCTTAAGGATTTCACTTTTGACATTTCACCTTTTACATCATACATTTTGTTTTATCATAAAAATATATTTTACATTGTATATTGTGTGTGTGTGTGTGTGTGTGTGTGTGTGTGTGTGTGTGTGTGTCACTGTTAATTTGTAATAGTGGACCCTAATCTCTTATTCACATAGCAGGCTGTAGACTCTCATTTTCTGAAAAGCACCAATTCCTCACTTATTGTATGCACTAACTAAAGGCCAGATGAAGCACTGAATTTATGCCACTATTTTCAATAAGTATCCTTTACCAGGCATCAGATTTGTGGTGAATATTAAATTCTTAATTGTCCATTAAAAAAATCCAAGATACAAGGTTAGTTATCCTTTAGTTGATAAATTCTATTTCAAGCTTGAAGGAACAAAGAATAACTAACTATGGCATTCTACAACAGCTTTACAAGGTACATGTTACAGATGTCACAAGTGTCCCCGAAGTTCTCCAGTGATTGCTTTAAACCTGAAGTCACTTTAGATTGCAGGAATGGGTGGCAGACAGAACCCTCTGCACTAAGGTCACCATTAAACTGGGGCAGCTCCACAGTGACAAAACCTGATGCTACCCCCTATGAATATGGAGGCACGTGAGACCATTTCATAAGAAAAGATCGTCACTCAACGAAAGAGAACTTCTTTGGAGCTACCTGGAAGAGTCAGGAAGGAGAAAATGATTCAGAAGACTATAATTGATTAAGAATGGTAAAGCAACTCATAACTTCACTTGAAATGTAACTCTAAGGTTCATGTCAGTATTCTGAAAGTTGGCTGATGTACTTTATTCTATCCAGATCCTAATATGTCCATATTTATCAAATATATTTCTATATTTCTTCCATTATTTCCTTTTGATCTGTGACCAAAGGGCTAGATTAAATTCATTTTTCTCACTTCATATCAATCTACTGGACTCTAACTTTGTTCACATGAGCATTTCTTTACAGGTAAGTTACTGTGGAGTTTCCATACCAGGAAACTTTTATTTGATTCCATGTGTTAAAAGTGAAATATATTGTTTCAATGAATATATATGATTTTTTTCTTTTAGCAAAATTTTGCATGTAAATACATTGGCTTTCTTTTCAAAATTAGGTAAAATGAAATTCCTGTTTTGTTAGAGATAACATATGTGCTCATTGTGTGGTATATAACATGCCACTACTCAATAA